TAGATTATACATTGTATAATCTACAAATATTGTAGATTATTCGAATATTGTAGAGTATATACAAATATTGTATATACAAATATTTTGTTTGTACAAATATTGTAGATTATAAGATTTGTAGAAGACAAAATAATTTTAAAAATTTTCTTAATATTGAAATTTTTTCTGTGAGTGTGTTTCTGTGAGTGATGTGTTTCTGTCTGTGATGTGTGAGTGATGTTATGTTTCTGTGTTTCTGTGAGTGATGTTATGTTGTTTCTACGTATGTTCCTAATGATATCTATGCATTGGGCTCGCATATTTGCTATTTATTTTGCTCATCCAGTCACTCAAAGTTATCTGTTCATTGCTTGTTAAGAGAATTTCTTTCTGAGAGAAAACTTGACTTAGTATATCGAATTTCCCTTAAATATTATTCGGTAATTACATTAGGATATTTGAATGCCACAAATATTGCTACGCCATGGAGGGCACCTGTCGCTCCAGCCAAGTTGGCTATTATAAATTATTATCATAGAGAAAAAACTTACGGTACCGTTCGGTTACTCACAGTAACTTTAGCTTTCACTACTTTAGATATGAAAAGTATTAGCATTTGTCAGATATACCAATAAACAAAGGGGTATATAACAATATTCTTATCCGCCGAGTGCCGTAAATAAAAGGATAGACTTCGTTGCACTAATCACTTTCCATTAGTTATTGTGAAAATTTTTGCCATTTTGTATGTCAATGAATAAGCCAAATTTAAATATCAGATTTTAGCCATCGTCCAACATATGAAAAGACATTGTTAAAAACTGGGACATATTTGCGTTGTGGTGTGCTTCTCTTTGAAGCTTATACTTCGTTTATATTCCTTCGCATTTATTGAATTATTTTTATTGCCTATTACTAAAGTGTTTTAGAAAGATTAATCTAAACTTGTCTAGCTCCTTATTTTAGAATAAGTCGAATTTGTGAATTTTTCTTATATTTTCCTAATTGTTTAGCTTATTACAATTTTTTATCTTATCTCGATATAATTCTTGAAAAAGGTGGAGTATAAACGCTTCTAAAATTGGTTGCACCTCAACAAGATGGACGTTTTCTCTTGGCTATGTTTAAAAAGAGCGTCATACAAAGTGTACGAGTGCCGGCAGCCCGTATGCTAATGTATAAATTGAACATAGTTAATGAATTAGCACGCATTATTCAGTGCTATGCGTGGCGGCAGTCTCGCTCACGCGGCCGATACAAGGAAGCACACACGGCATCTCGGTGGCGCGATCAGATCTCGTCAGAAAACCAAAACATCTTTTATTTTCTTGGTAGATCTTCTATTACGCGTTACTCGATGAGCTTTCAAGCGGCAAAATTTCTCTCTTAATGAAGACAGAGCTGCAACAATTTGTACTTGCTTTCAAAGCCTTGACACCACACGTGTAATAATCCAGTGATTATGATGCCCGTCAGTTCATCGTATAGTTGCCCCTGAGATTCAAGTGCTCCTAATTCGAGTGAAATGCATTTACTCGTTTAACTTCATTTAGACCGCGTAGGCTTGAAGCTTCTCACTTGAAATGAATAGCAAAGTTTAGACGGACCATTTTACATTGTGTATTGCTGTGGCTTATTTTGCATGTCCATGCAGACGTCTATTTCTTTAGTTTGTTAGTCCGGCGTGGATGTGCTTATATTTTCTACAATTTGTTATATCTGGTTAATATTCAGTGACATATCTCCCTCGTAGGCGCCTAACATTTAAATAAATGTTCTGACAGGAATCATATGGTGGTTTCTAATTTCAACTGCCAAAGATCATAAAAAATGAAAAAACTTCATCGAGCGACTCGGTCGTGACGTTGCCGTGAGTCCCGTCAGGCCTGTACTGCTAATCTTAACAATATTTTATGTAGACTTTTGACCTGGATACATTTTGTCTTGCATTTGTACATGTCTTTCTGTTAGTGCTCTCCAAAGATGATATATCAATTTTTATTTTATGAATTATGTAGCATGAATGAAAGTTGAAGGTGAAGGTGGTGGTCGTGGAGTCTCATGACCAGCACGCAACCATTCAACGTCTGCCACGCGTTGTATATATATATAACTACATTTGTGAATATATTGTTATCAAGTCGGCATGTCTCATTCTAGCTTCTAAATGTCTGTTATACTTCAATAAAATGACATACATTTTTATATAAAAGAAACCAACGAGTGTTTCGTCCAAGTTATGTGCCTTCGTAGGCACAATTATGTGTAGAATAGGCCTGTCGCCGATTCTGATACTTTTCTTGACTTGACTGGCCTTTTGATCAAATATTTTCAACGGATGATTGACTGTGTCTTTAATGTCAGCCCTCACGCGCGCGATCCTGCGTTTCAATCTCTTAGCACCTCCAGAGCTGGGCAGCGCTACTTTGAAATGTAGCGGCCGCCACCGCTACCGCTACATGCTCTAAATGTAGCGGGCGCTACCGCTACCGCTACACCCACTAGAGTGTAGCGAGCGCTACCGCTACCGCTACAGTAAAATGTAGCGCCGCTACATTAGCGCTAAAACGGCCAAAATTATTGGAAATCTCTAAATATTTATTCTTCTGCTATTGGGATTTACTCATAAACATTTTGTGATAATAAAACATTTTCAAAACATATCAATGCAACTTTATTGCAATTAACCTAACCGAACTAGTACAGGTTAGATACGGTAAATAAAAGTTACAATTATTTTTATGTTTTACCTTCCCTACCTGGATGTCTACTTTAATCTACCAATCTAAAAAATTATCCACATATACATATAAGAAATCAGTCTTTTATTTGTATATATATGTGGATTATTTTTGAGATTGGTAGATTAAAGTAGACATCCATGTAGGGAAGATGAAACATAAAAATAACTGTGTAAAAAAACTAAGAAAACTGAAAAATAAAAAATACCTGTAAGTGGTAACTGGTAACAACTTAACAAGTAACAACTAACATATTGACACTAGTAACAGGCTGAGGTTGACAACATTACACCGAAATGAGGAGTCTCGTTTGAACTGTGATAGTGAGTGTTTGTTCGTTAACATAGCTCCTGCTTTGAAACTGGTGTTTACGAAAATCCAGATTTTCATTTAAATTAGATTGTGAAATCACCTCACTTGAAAACCTAGTTTATCTAACCTTGTGTGGTTGGAAAGTGAATAACATGAAAGAAGGTAAGGCGAGTGCCGCGGACTTGATTGATCCTGGTGCTGACTCAACAATAGAAAATATAGAAAATCTCACCACAACACAGCTAGAGCACTTCCTGGAAACAGAACCTAGTCGTACTAGTGTTACGATGGAAAATGACGTGCCAGGAAACTCTCATGAAGCTATGGTATATGCAAGTGTTCCGGTAGGCCACAAGAGGAGGGGGTCTTTTTTTGGAGGAGCCACAACATGTGAGAAGCAAGGAGAACGCACCGCAACGGAACTTAGGCCACTCTGAACAAGAAAACCAGTTAACCCCTCTCTCATCTCTGGTCATGCCTGATCCTCTTCCAGTTTCTGAACTTCGTAGTGACAAATCATAACCCTGACAGCCGTGTGATATTGGTCCGCCCAGTTTCTGCAGAAGACCGCAAGATCCTGACATCTCCTGCCAAACTCTGTAAGATATGTACTTGAAACTTCAAAGTTCACCCTACAATAAGACAGGCATATTCGATGTTCGGGTAAATATGGAACGACAACTTCTTGCTATTGAACTTGAAACAATGGATAAAGATCATATAAATTTCTTCCTCAATTTGAAAAAATAGGAACCTGGAATGTGACATATGCACTACCATCACAAGGCAAATATCAATATGGTGTAGTTTCCCCAATTGACCCAGATGTAGAAATAGAACGGTGTATCTATACCGTCACGTGTATCTATGCATTAACGGAGCGAACTAAAATAATTCTGATGACAGCAGGAGTGTACAGTAAATAAATAGCTTCGTTGTCAATAAATTCTAGATCAGTCGCAATTTGAAAAATTTATGTGTGGAGGAAACCTGCTAAGGCTGAGCGTTTAGTGAACCAATTAAAGTCAAAGTGGACAAAAAAATGTATCGATGCTGGCAAGAACCTAATTTCAACATATATATCCATTTTTAATTTGGTCCCGACCGATTACGATTTAATTACCTTATTCGTGGTTGAAAATGTCACCAGTTACAATCCGCAATTATTTAAATTAAATTCGAAATCAAATAGTAAATTCGTATGCAAATATTAAATTTTATTTCGACGAGGTCAACGTTCCACATGTCATCTAATCTGAACTGAAAGTTTAAGGCCAACTTCATCTTTCTAGCACCCTCCAGGCAGCACAGCTAACCAGTTTAAATCGTCATCATCTACGAGTGCTATCGACGCTACGAGCCACCAAGCATATTTACGGTTGCGAACTTCGAGGTAACGGAGCCGGCGGTGTATAATAGATCCCGTCTCCTTCAAATATTAAGCACCTTAGCCCTAGGTGTAAGCAATAGTCTCCAAAAACTTACGTTGTATTCGAATGGTTTTAAGACAGTGAAGATTCGGAAACTTCTAATCATATTATCTGGCGATTAGACCCGTTTCATCAGGAGTATTTCAATGGTAGCTATCACTAAAATATCTCAGAATTATTAAGGAAAAATAGTTCGCATCATGAAGCATATTTAGCTATATAATGAACTATTGCTTGTATCGTTCCGTTGCGAATTTCTTCCATTGAGTTGCCATCGGGAACATTTTGATCCGGTATCTACTACAGGCAATGTTGCTCTGTAAAAAAACAGCCATCCCGTATCTACTTCATCCCGTNTATTGTTGAACTACGAGATATCCTAGGGGCCGTAGTTTGGAGACCTCTGGCCTAGAGTGTAAATGATTATTCTTCGTAATTCGCACCCTGAACATATCTCGAACTGTAACTAGCGAATAATGGACTGTCGCAAGTCAGAAGGTATGAATGAACATTTTTATGAACACTTTATTGCCTCTATTTGAAGTGTAAACTGCTGTCTTCCTCTTCGGCACCGCTTGTCAGCTGCAATAACATAATTTGTGACGCCCCTGCAGCTAGCGACAGGATGACGCGTCCTAGTTTGGAGAGGGTCCCATTAATGCAAATGGTCTCCCTGGATGCATGCCGGTCAATTTTTTCTGACCCAGCTAGGTCCACCAAACGAAGTAGGCCAGTCTGATGGCCAAAAATTAATGACAATAAGTAACTATGGTGAGAAAACAAAACGTAGGGTTTAGTCACTCCGTTGCTACAAAACAATTGCATAATTTAAAATTAATTAAGTCTTTTGTATACCTTTCAATATATGAAAACGCCCGAAACATATAAATCTAATAACTTTATTTTTACCTTTACCTTTTTTACCTTTACCCAATAACCTTTTTTACCTTTTCTAGTGTATTCTCCTTGATTTTGATCATGATTGTGAAGACGGTGTGTGAACGGGTTGAATTGACATTGAGGAGAGTAGTAGTTGCCCTTCTCTTTTCGCTGCCTCGCTCAATCAACCTGAGCACTTCATTCATGGATCCTGAATGAAGTGACAAGAAGAGCTTGACAATCCTGAGTCAGATGGTGCCAGGACCAAGGCAGTTACCTGGTGCCGAGCGGCGGCGTCCAGCTGCCGTTCAAGCTCAGTAACCCGTTGCTGAAGCAGCACCATTTCTGCCTTGTAGACCTCTGCAACGTCACNGTGCCCCAGCACCACATCACCCGTGCCCCAGCACCACATCACCCGTGCCCCAGCACCACATCACCCATCACTACTCCTAGTGAACCACCCTAAGCATGGCCAGGTATTTAGATAAGGAGCTTGACAATCCTGAGTCAGATGGTGCCAGGACCAAGGCAGTTACCTGGTGCCGAGCGGCAGCGCCCAGCTGCCGTTCAAGCTCGGCAACCTTTTGTTGAAGCAGCACAATTTCGGCCTCGTAGACCTCTGCAACTGCACAGTTAAAATCACTATTAAGAACACTGCTGCTGCAGTACCTCTTTTCACCACCTTCGCCACCTCTTTTCACGCATCAAATCAACAATGTTCGCAAATGTGTTAAGGTTTTGGACATACAACTTAGCAGCCAACATTTCGAAGCCACTTGTAGCAATGACATACAGTAATTTAAGCTTGAAGGAATAGGTATGCGGTGAGCAGGAGAGGATGCTACCCGAGTTTGCATGATTCTTAAGTCATTGCTAACCTACCGGCAGGAAGATGACACCAGAGTGTGTGGTGAGCCGTGCCTAGAGCGAACTGAATTCTCATGTACACAAGATTGGTCCTGAAAAACAGGCTCCTCCTTGACTGTGGAAGCTGAAAACCTTCGCTGGCAGCTCAGATCGAGGTATTCACGAAAAAAGATAACCGTTACTACAACCTCAACTAATAATATGCCCAAGTCAGTAGAAAGATACTAACCCAGTTGAGTGGCGCTATGCTGGGCCTGGCACTGCTCCTCCTCCTCGGAGCTCCTCCTCAACTCCTGTGGACTATATTTGGGATCGCAATTCCTTTCCGTTTAGTTTTGTTGTGATCGCTCTGCTTCGTCAACTCGTGTCGTCCCACAGTGGAATTATCTTCTTGCCACTTCTAATTCCCCGTTAAGACGAGGATTAATCAGATAAGGCAGGATCAGGGGGCAAGTTTGCCTAATCAGGCAGATTAGGCAAACTTGCAAATATCCTTCGTTGTAACCTAATATGATGTTTTTAAATTACCTGGTCTATGGCTAATGTATGGATGTGCTCCGCGGTGTCTTCAATGAGCATCCGTTGCATTTTATTCTTGTTACCTCTGACGAGTTACTTCCCAGGCAAGGCAACCAATTCGAACTCTGACGTGCACACGTATTACCAGCAAGAATCCTACGCTCAAAAGAAGCAAACGAGGCGAGACTCGTCATTCCCATCGAAGCTCTGCGCAGCGTCCATGCACCGTTTCACTTGGCGTTAATCTTGTCAATCTACTTCCATTCTTCAGAGTACAGAGTCCGTCTCTGTGTAGAAAGCTGCCCTCCGTCTTCCTGCCCTGCGAAATTTTCCGTCTGATGCGTTACGTCTACCGTATTGTCTCGCAGCATGTAACATTCCACAGGCGTATAATATTTTGACCATTCTATTGTTGAACTACGAGATATCCTAGGGGCCGTAGTTTGGAGACCTCTGGCCTTGTAAATGATTATTCTTCGTAATTGGCACCCTGAACATATCTCGAACTGTAACTAGCGGATAATGGACTGTCGCAAGTCAGAAGGTATGAACGAACATTTTTATGAACAATTAAAAACTTTATTGCTATTGCCTCTATTTGAAGTGTAAACTGCTGTCTTCCTCTTCGGCACCGCTTGTCAGCTGCAATAACATAATTTGTGACGCCCCTGCAGCTAGCGACAGGATGACGCGTCCTAGTTTGGAGAGAGTCCCATTAATGCAAATGGCCTCCCTGGATGCATGCCGGTCAATTTTTTCTGACCCAGCTAGGTCCACCAAACGAAGTAGGCCAGTCTGATGGCCAAAAATTAATGACAATAAGTAACTATGGTGAGAAAACAAAACGTAGGGTTTAGTCACTCCGTTGCTACAAAACAATTGCATAATTTAAAATTAATTAAGTCTTTTGTATACCTTTCAATATATGAAAACGCCCGAAACATATAAATCTAATAACTTTATTTTTACCTTTACCTTTTTTACCTTTACCCAATAACCTTTTTTACCTTTTCTAGTGTATTCTCCTTGATTTTGATCATGATTGTGAAGACGGTGTGTGAACGGGTTGAATTGACATTGAGGAGAGTAGTTGCCCTTCTTCTCTTTTCGCTGCCTCGCTCAATCAACCTGAGCACTTCATTCATGGATCCTGAATGAAGTGACAAGAAGAGCTTGACAATCCTGAGTCAGATGGTGCCAGGACCAAGGCAGTTACCTGGTGCCGAGCGGCGGCGTCCAGCTGCCGTTCAAGCTCAGTAACCCCTGTCTCTTATACACATCTTCGTGAATGTACTGTGATGCAAGAGACATGATTGTGCGTTATTATGGAAACATTTTAATACATGAACTATTGAGTATAAATGATCACGAACACCAATGAAATTCAATATGAATTGCCAACTGCAGCCTGGAGAGCAGTTGCCCATAGCCTGGGCGTTGGTCCACAGCACATAACNGGGTTCAATGTGTCTTAAAATTTGTCCAAATGAAAGGTTCGATAATCCTGCGACGCGTTTCGCTCATCACTGAGCATCTTCAGGCAACGAGGTCACGAGTTGCTTGTGGGTTAGCTGCAGAGAGGAGACTAATTGAGGTAGTGAACGAAGCTACGAGTAAGGTTCTTATACAGTCCGTTGTACACTTGTTCTAGTTATGAAGTTTCAGAGTGCGTTCGGATCCAGTCGTTTGATTGTTGAGGTATGGCTTTTTCCGTTGAATTAGAATTGCTTCCATTATTTGTAGTCTGTTGAAGTCTGGTTCGTGGCGAAGGATTTTTGTGTTTTGTACCAGTTCTTCCCGGGTTAATTTGGTGTTGTGGTTGTCCGTAGCGTGCGTTTTGGGTCCTCCAGAAACTAAATGCATTGTGAGCCGTCTTGATAGGGTTGTAGTAGTCATGCCGATATACGAATTGTTGCGGGGCTCGCACTCCCCGCGGTTATTTTTAACCAAACTTGTTTAAATGAAGGGCTCTACCTTAAATATACAACTTTCAATCTATGAAAACACCCGAAACATATAAATCTAATAACTTTATTTTTACCTTTACCTTTTTTACCTTTTCCTAATAACCTTTTTTACCTTTTCTAGTGTATTCTCCTTGATTTTGATGATTGTGAAGACGGTGTGTGAACGGGTTGAATTGACATTGAGGAGAGTAGTTGCCCTTCTTCTCTTTGCGCTGCCTCGCTCAATCAACCTGAGCACTTCATTCATGGATCTTACCAGCACGTTTTTCATGTCATGAAGGATGCACGCTCCTTTTTGAGATGAGTCTTTATATAATCTGGAAAAGGAAAAGTACGTTCATATATTGGCAGTCATCAGATGTCAATTAAATGTATAAGGCATATTACAAGTAATTATCATACAATACAAAATTTTCAAAATGAGGGTCTGTATGAGGGATGTACCAGAAGTACAATGCCAATGAGAGGAATACAAATTCAACTTGGATATATAATTTTAATTTATATGCACATGCACCGGTTGACGTGCCACTACTACCCGGAACAGCTGTTCAATATTACGCTTCAGAGTGTTAAATATTTTATAATTTCAAATCAATAATTTATATCTTCCACTGTACCTCACTATCTCGACATTAGATTCAAAGAAGTATATACAGCATAGAAACGAACCTCAATTTAGGGGGGTCATTTTGAGCAGATAGCAAGTCGTATGGCTCATCAGTGTATAGTTCAATGAAGCTCACGTGCATAGTGAACTCGAGCTTCAGCCTTGCTATCTTGTCAAACAGGTGGTTCACACACCGCGGGATTATTCCAGCCAAATGGCCCTGCAAAAGAGATTGTTCAAATACATATGAGAAAATATGGCAGGGGAAAGCATGATATCAATGAAAATATTACCTATTTATTGCTGGTGCATGTGCAGCCGGCACGAGAGTCCGCTTACTTGGTAGCAAATGTTTATACGTGGTTTGCTAAATGATCTACCTTATCATTATAGATAAAAATAGCTAAAATAATATTGTTCCAACACCAACATTTTAAAGCTAAAACAAAAATATAAATTTTAAATATAAATAAAAGTAACTACGTATAAAAGATATTTTGTGTCCTGATGCCTAAAATGGAATTTAAAAATATATTTTTTTCCGTTCTTTGGTTCGATCATATCGAACCAAAGAACGATACATAGCGTGTCTGAAGTATTTAACGCTGTCGACAAGTCCTTTCAAGCGACCTGCCACTGCCAAGTACTTTCAAGTTCGTTTCAAGTTCGTATCCAATGTTCATTCTGAAGTACGTGAAGAGTTTTAAAACACCATAACTACATACCAAAGTTATCATAGATATGGTTATCAATCAAAATTTAAAATCATTCTGAAAACAACTTCAACATCCTGATAAATCAAGTGGCCTACAAATTGATAGCTGGAGACTCATCCTTGATGATGAGAACCTCTGCTATCGTTAGTCTTGTAGTATTGGGACACCGCATGGTGCCTAACCATACTATATACCTGAGCAAAATTTTTATTTTGATCAGGTATATAGTATGGTTAGGTTTGTGCTAAGGCTAAGGAAAGTGATCAGATCAATTACAGTGTTCAATTACTGTGTACGCACTTCTCAAAACCTGATGACAGTGAATATCTGAAGGTTTATTCATTTATCAAAGAACCACCTCGTATCAATTAAAACTTCATAAAAAATTTAGTTTAAATAAAGGGAGGGGGCGCTGCCCCATGTTGCCCTATAAGGTTCGTGCTCTTCAATTCTTCCAGTCCACCGGGAAGTGGCTCATTCGAAGTTCTCCTAACCATAAGGGAGAAGGTAAGTCTGGTGCCCACGTCCACCTGGAATAAGCATTAAATACACGAAGTAGCATATCGTTCTTATCAACCTAAGCTCTGCCACAAAAATAAAAATTTACGGGGTGTATGCCTGAATATATCCTATAAGGCCCTGGGATGTTCAATCACGAGCGTGCCCAGTCGTTGCTCGTACGCATGGCGTCGGTGCTTGTTCTACGAGGCGTGTTGTTTCGATAAGCACCGTTTTATATCTTCATTTTGGCGCATTACTTAAACATTTCTTTCTCTTTTTTTCTTTGCTGCATGTGGTCCCTACTTCGCGCTCTGCTTGCGCGTCCAGCGACCTGCCACTGCCAAGTCCTTTCAAGTTCGTAAGTGAATTTTTGAGGGAGGTAAGTGAGGGCCCTTTTTCATATTAAGTTTCTTAAGCACTTAAGATGTACGCTTAACCGGTCTCTCTCGTAAAACCTAACTGATATATTATTATCCGATTTTTATTTTCAATTAGAATTATTGTGTTGCTTCTTGACCAAATTCCATAGTAATATTTTAATGTTAATGAAACGGTTTGATGAAATTTGAACCTAAAAACACTGGAAAAAGTGAGCAAAAAAGTGATCCATTATTATGAAAGATGCTCACTTGTACGGAAGGTTTACGCCCTCAATTCAGGACAAGTATTCCGCAATCGTAATTCAGTCAGTAACCAGAACTCACAATAGACTGTGCAGCAATTCAGTGAATCTAACAATGATTGGAATTCTTTTAAGATGAGATTGCAGGTCACTGTTGCTGGCCGTTAACGCTCTGCAGCGATCAGTTGCACAGCGACCGGCGTCGGGTGTGGTGCTGTGCAGAAAGTCTCCTCGCACTTCCCGGCGTCAGGCAGGTCACCTGAGTGCCACTGTGGAACCTGGTCTAAGATCTTAAACGTCTAGAATAACAGTGAATTAATTATTTAGTTTCATAATAATCAAAGTATTCAGTTCTT